CGGACTCCCTCTCTTCATTCCTATGGTTCTTAAGAAAGCCAGAATTAGAATCCGTGGAGGGACCGAATACTAACCAGCGCGGGGCTGGAAGCCTGGGCGCAGGGATCCTCCTCCCCTCACCTGGCAGGCAACCTGGGGGCTACTTGGAAGGTAGGCTAACCCAGCTGGGAGAATAAAGAAAAGTTTCACAGATCCTGGATCATCGTTTTTCCCAGGACCAGAAACTAATGGTGATAGATAGTTGCTAAGGATTTCCAATTATTTTAAAAAACAAAACAAAAACTCACAAATCTGGTTTTGGAGCAGGGAAAACCAGAAACCTCATGGCAAAAGGGAATGCCTCTTTTGTTTGTTCCTTGGAGGCACAAGAGTGTGCGTGGTTTTAAACGAGGAAGGGCGAATTTCGTAACTCACATAGGAAAATTTAAGGGGAAAAACCCCACTTGTAGGTAAGATTAAATAGAACTGGATTTGAGAGTTTGGGAGGAAGGGGGCCGGGAGATGCCACTTGCTTGCCAGCAGGTGGCGCGTTTTCTTTAGGATTGCTTCCCCGAATCTTTCGATAAAACATCGGGGCCAGACTAGCTCGGAGTCCCTTCGCCGGAAATCGCTATGCAGATAATAACCCTCCAGTGTCTGGAAATGTTTAATTACCGCGAACGCTGATTCCTCCAGCGCCGCCCGCCGCCGATGTAGCCCCGTTAAAGACGCAGCGCCGCGGGTATGGTAAGGTAATTCTATTCCCAGGGTTTCACCCTGACTATACAGAATTCAGTTTAAATAACTTCTCTTCACCATCCTCCGTTTGATTAGACACTGCTTCGTTTCTAATACATTTATTCCCACCTTTGGATAAGAGGAAAAGTTCAGTAGTCTTAGAAGGTAGATGTGTTTAAGTGTCTAAAATAATTCTGACAACTCATTTGTACAAAAAGTGTAAACTCACTACACCTTTTACACACATTTTACACTTGCTCCTCACAATATAAGACATCATCAACATTTCATTTTACAGATGATAGTATGGCCAGGACTCATGCAATTTCACATGAATATTCGTGCTTTATACGTATTCTTATAAGCCAAGGGTAGATATATGCATACGTGTATTGTTACATTTAGTAAGGTGACAAGTAGTTACAAGATATTTACGGACTCATAAAGAACTTATGAAACGGGAACTGCTTGGAAAAACAGTTCACTTTCCCTTTCAGTTTTGATACTGTAACTTGTCTGTCGCTGTCACAATAAACACCAGCTCTTGGGTTCACCTGGGATCTATTCTGCTAAGACTCTGGAGTTGTTTGTACGTTATCAGAGCGTGTTATCTGTACAAGTGTGTGTGGATGTCGTGTTACTTACCTCCCCTGCTTAAAAACTACCCCCCCCCAAGCTGGATTTTGACCTGATTGATCGTAATGGTTCCAGAGGAACTGTTGAGCCATTACAATCCATCATCTAAATGATTACAGAGGGATACCTAAATCTCCAGGTTATTTGAAAGCTCTGTACATGTGTAAAGGGGGGTCAAATGAGCAGAGCCCCAATTGTCCAAAAAGTAGTTACAGGAAAGCTTTCCTTGGAAGCAAAAACTCGTAGTAAGTGCTAAGTAAATTACTTTTTTTAAAAATGAGGTCATTTTTGTGTGGCTGGGGAGTAGGGAGAAGTGGGGTTCATTTTGTTTTATCCAAAACACACCCAAAGCCACAGAGGCCACGTTCTAGTTAATTTTCTGGAAGCTGTTCAATTTTCACTCTGCAGACAGGCTGGGGCTCTTTCCTTCTCAGTAAGCAGGGGTTGGGAGAGGAGCTGGAGCAGGGGCAGGGAGACCTAGGGAGGCTGTCACAACCCCCAGTGTGCCCAGAAAAGGTGGCGGGGAGGGCTCACTGCGGTAGCTCTGCAGCCCCGGCTATGGATCTCCGCTGGACCCCACCTGCATTGGCGGGGTGTATCCCGGACCTGGAGGCCTGGTCGCTAGTGTGGGGACCTTTTCCGAAGGATGCTCAGTTCTACCGGAGACTGGGAACCCTTGGGCCCCCGCGGTTGCGCCCTGCTGGCGGTGGGCGGGCGGGAGAGTCGGAGGGAGCCCCGGCGGAGTTTGCGGCGGGTCTAGCTGCCGGCGGCGGGAGCTTGCAGGCTCAAAGAAGCAGAAGCTGCAGCCGCCGGTGGCGGAGTGCGCTGGCCGCCCGGGAAGGGGATGGGTGTCCACACAGGAGTTTCATCACCTGCAGTGGGCTACGGTGCCATAGAATGGTTGGGTCCCGGCTACGGAGGACGTTTACTAAATTCCAAACGTGATGTCCTTGTGAGTCCTAAATGAATCTGACTTCTCTAAAAAGTAACATGGAAGTCTTTAGGTGTCCTGGGTCCTGCCTTCCTCAATCCAGCCAAGTCGGAGTCCGGTAGCATTGCGACCTGCTTTAGGTTGGTCAGTTTCTCTTAAATAGACCTCCTTTAAGCTGATCAGTTTCTCTTAAATAGTCGGGGGAGGGGATCCTCTGCTATTCCTCCTGGAATGGAGGGCAGAGGGGTTCTTAGCTTTCTGGGCTTCTTCTGCTTGCCCTACTCAGAGGGAACCAGAACCTGGTTGGCTTCCAGTGGAGACTGAGGCCATGGTTTGTGGGTCACCCCGTTGGGAGCTTGGATTGGGGTGGAGGACTCCAGCAACTAGCAAATCTTTCATTTCATTTCTGAGGTTTCTGGGTTTGTTCATTGTCAGAGCAAGACCTAGAAGGAGCATCTTCCAAGCCAGGTATCTGAAACAGGCCCATCTTTGCCCCAGCTGTGCCAGAGTCCCACAGGTCTCACCTTGTCTTGTCCTACCTTGCAGACCAGCTCCAGGGGAGGCAGCCAGAAGGCCTCTGGGAGGCAAAGCCCGAGATGCTGGGCTATGAGGAGCCAGCTCCAACCTTGCATCCCCATCTTGCCCTACACCCACTAAATCCCAAGATTTGCCCTGAGTCCAAATCAGTTTTCCAGGTATGCTGGCAAAAGTGGCGTCAAACAACCCACTTGCATGGTCCTTTCTTTAGAATCCCTAAAGACTCTCTTTCCAAGAGCTCTTTAGGGATCCTACTACCTGGAGATTTCTACAAGTCCTTGAAGCATGTTGGCCAAGGGCCCTGATTCAGAAGAAAAAGGCAAATGGAAAGATGGAGGAAATAGGTATACTGTGTGTTCTGAGCAGGAGATGGGGTTTGTACACGTGGGAAGCTGCATCCCACCTGAAAGTCCTCTTCGGAGCTTTTCCTAAGCAGTCTGGACAGCCAGAGGGCCCACTGTGGGGGCCTTTCTTGGATGCTTTCATGGCCGCTAATGGAGGTTCCTGAGCTTTGTCTCCTAGGAGAGCCCGAGACTGGTACAGGCAAATTCCCTGGACCAAGGTGGAAGCGAGTACAATCCAGAAATGCCCTGCTGGGCTTTCCTTCCAGGCCTTCCCCTCCTCTTAGAACTTGCTGCCATGGAATCTCAGGGAAAGGAGTGATCTCAACTCCTTTCTGCTCCCAAGGGGCTGCTCCCTGGCCAGCATGTCGCCCCATGCTGGCAGCTGCTAGGATTCCAACTGCATAGACAAATTTATGTGGGCCCCTGACTCAGCACTAACCTGTGGCAGGGGATGAGTGCAGTCCCTTGGGGCAAAAACTGCACCCCCTCTTCCTCCTCCCCACCCAAGTCAAAGTTGCCTAGGGGCTGGAGGCTAGGTTCTGTCCTAAAGGCCTGTGGATAAGACAAGGGTCTTTTTCCAACTATGCCTTTTGGGGGCATTTCCACTATCATTTCCCTAGGTCAGAGAATGACACCCAAAAATTGTCACATCAGACTTGCAGAGCGAAGCTGGACAAAGCACCATTTCCTCCCCAGAGACACAGAAGTAATACTCTAGAGACCCACTGAGGCCAGGATCCAGCCCCAAGGGCTGGGTGGATCACTCAGCAGCAACCTTGGGGCAAACCTTGGGAGTGCAGTGGTGTAAATCTGGACCCACCCAAGCCCTGGGAAACCTTTGCCTCCTCCTGAATTCAGGGGCTGGTGTTGCAGAGAGGTGGCAGCAAGAGGTCAGGGCTGGGGTCAGCTGGAGGTCAGCTCTCAGAGCCCAGCAGTCAGTAAGGTATGGGTACTCTCCCTAAGGCGGAAGCAGGGAAGACAGAATTTCTTGCAGCCAGAATCCTGACCCCTCTTTAGGTCCCAAATGCCACCTGAACCAGCTCCTTGGGCTCAGAGGTCCTGAAGCTGAGTAACTTTGCAGCTTGCTCTCCAAACTCCCAACCCATCCTCCCAGAACAAATGAATACGTGATTGGAGGGTGCGACAGTGCCTTAGGGTGGAATCCCAGAGGGTTTTGGAATCTAGGACAATAACTTTCTTGACCTCCTTCCCCCACCTTCCACCTCTGATCTTTCCACCGAACTCCACAACCCAGAGTCTGGGGTCAGCCCTAGGCATTGGGGTCTGGGCTGCCCTGGGGGTGAGCACTCCGTTGATGTCCAGGAACTGCTCCATACCCAGGGCCCTACGCCTCTGGGAAGGGATTCTGGGAGAAAGGGCGACTCTGCCAGGGGCCAAGAGCTCTGGAGTCCAAGCTACAGGGCGGGGATCCCGGTGTACCCCCCCCAACTCTGCATAGGCTGTGTCCCAGGCGCGCAGGAATAGGACCGCAAAATGCGCAGTTTCAGCCTGCTCTCCTCCGCTTGAGGCCGTTTCCTCTAAGCACGCCAGGGGTGCCCTAGTGGGCCTAACAATGCAAAAGGGGTCTCACGGGACTGAAAAGCAGGGGACGCAGGTCTGGAGAGGCCGGGGCCAAGTGAGCGCGGCTGCCAAAGTCTGCTGCCCCGGTCAGCAAAACTTTGTCTCTCAGTGCGCAGGCGCAGGGCAGGGTTGGGGGACAGGGGAGGGAGGGGAGGAATCCTGAGGCAAAGGGAGGAGGGAGGGAGAGAGGGAGGGAGGGAGGAGGGTGGTGGATTAAAATAAGTAGGCGGCTCGGTGCTAAGGGATGAGTGAGTCGGAGCTCGGTCTCTCCCCAGCAAGTTCTCAGCCGCTCCCGGTTCAGACCCAACCAGGGAGCCGCGAGCGGGGCTCACCATCCCCCGAAGGGCAGCACTCCGGGGCAGTCGAGCGCTCCCGCGCGTGTCGGGCGCTCCGAGTCCCCGCAGCCGGAGAGGGGCCAGGACTCTAGAGCTCCGGGGGTGCCTGTGGAATCCAGCGCCTCTGGCTTCCCGGGTCCCCCGCAGCAGAGCCCCAGAGACTTCCCCAGCCCGGGACCGCCGAGGAACAAGGTAACTGCAGCCCTGGGAGCCCCTGCTCGGCGAGGGGAATGCGGGCAGCACTCCCGGGTCCCCTGTCACAGTGCGTGCGGCGGGTGTCTCCTCTCTCTGGGTCCCAGAAGGAAGCTCCTCTTGCCAAACGAAGGCTGCAGGACCTTTGTGAAAGTGAGAGCAGCTGCAGCCCAGGGTGGTTGGGGGTGCTGGCTCGGGGACTTCCCGCGCGGGGTCTTCGGCCTCTGACCTCCGGGGAATGAGGGGGCGGGCCTCCACTCCTGCTCCTCGTGCGGCCAGGCTCTAAGGAATCCAGGGCGAGATGCCTGCGGATTTCGGAAGTCAGACTGTGAGCCCCCCTCTAAGAAACCGAAGAAACTTCAGCGGGCACAAACTTTCACGAGATGCACGCCTAGCTCAGTCTGACCTACTTTAGCTGACGAAGAAGGAAAAGAGAGTGGATGGATGGCCACGGCCGCAGCCGACGGCGCCAGGGACAGGTGCATGCCCCAGCCAGGTCGCGCTTTTCGTGCAAGTTTTCTTTTTTTCTTTTTCGGAGTTGCGCTCAGGTATCAGGCCGGCTGGACCGGGAGCGCAGGGCCTGGTGCCTGACCCAGCCTTGCACTTGAGCTCTGACTTTGGGGTGTTCACTATAGATAATTGCTCTGTGTAGTCAAGGCCTGGGGAGTAACCCGCCACTGTTTCGGTGCAGGGAAGCGTGCAGGGGGGCGCGAAACACTACTTTCCAATCGGTGACCCGCACGCCGATGTAGCGGAAACGCTATGGGTGCCGTGAGTGTCGCCGGTTTGGCGCTTATAAGGGAAGGATTCGTTTCCTCCCCGGACTGTCCCCTAACTCAGCCTTCAGGAGAGAAGGGGGAAGTCGGAGGAGAGAGGAAAAGAAGTGAGGGGCTGCCTGCGGAACTAATTTCTTTCCCGAAATGTCTCTGATCAGAAGAATGAAAACCCACACCCAGTCCTTTTTCAGCAGCTCGCGCAGTAGCGGGATAGGCTCTCAGGGTGTAAAGTAGCTCCGAGGGTTTCTTTGTTGCCACAATTTGGTAAATTTCAACCGGGCTATGAGCTGCGCGCTGGCTTTTGGGAACAGAAACCACGTGCAAAGCTAGTTGGTCTCCCAGGATCCCGGCCTCCTAGAGAAGAGAGGGGCTTACAGGGAGAGGGGACGACCAGTGGGTTGATGTTCTATCCCAGGCTCCTCAAAGTAATCGCGGTTTCATTAAGATTGGGGAACAGATCGCTAAGGACACAGCGGGAGTTTAAAAAAATGCCGCGGGTTGGCCGCCTAGCCGAAGGATTCGTTCGGTCTCGTTTGTTGGGAGAATTCAACAGAAGTATCCGGTGGTGGTTAGTCCTCCCACCAGGGGTCTGGACGCCTGTCACCGCGAGTGTGTTGGGGATTCGGTGTCAAGGATGATTTTCTGGGGCTGCTGCTGGGCTCCTTCAGGCGCAAGCTCGTGGAGTTCGCTCCGTTCTCATTAATGCAAGCAGTTAACTCGCTCACGCTCAATTAGCCCCGAATAAACCACTTTAATAGACTCTACACACTTCATTAATGCCCAGCGTAGGGCTGGCTGCAGACCTGAAATTGGCGCTCCACCGCGCGAGGGAAGCAGCGCCGGCACTGCGCAGGGGACCCAGGCTCGGAAGCGCGAATTGTTTTTGCTGCGTGCGGTCGGGATCTTTACCCGCACCTCCCAGGTCCCGAAGCTCAAGCTCCTTGCCAAGTGGCTGTCTGGCCCGAGGAGAGGTGTTTCCCCTGGTGTTTAAAAATCTAAAGCGTTCACACACGAGTCCCGGGGGTCAGGGCAACGGGACCCGGAGGGGCTGGGAGTTCGTCCATCCTCTCCGGCTGGAGAGGCGAGTGTGAGACTGTGTTTTTCTCTTAGTTGACCGCCTGAAACCGGATCGTGCATTTCGCCCATTCTTGGTACTAGTGTAAGGAGCCACGTTTCGAACGAATTTCGTCCCCGGGAAAGTCGTTGGCGAGAGCCTGGGGAGCCCTGGCCTCGGAATGCGGCAGAACATAAGAAACTGGCTGCGCTGCTGAAGAAAATAAATTGAGTGTTGGGGGAAACAAGATCGGGCAGATAGCCCGGAAAGGTTGGCTCCCAAGAGCAGTGATGGCTGCAAACGCCCCCTCCCCCTACGGAGCCCCAGGTCCTCTGGGCTCCTGGGGGTAGGCGAGGAAAGGCCAGGTTAGTACCCGACGTTGGTGGGCTCCCCACCGGGGCACCGAGCGGGCTCGGGCCCTTGTGCAGCCCAGAGCCCCAGCACCACTGCCAACGCTCGCTGGGCTGGGGATAGGTCCAGCGGAGAGGAGCAAGCTGAGGCCCCGGTGGCGCCGGGCGGGCCCCGGGGAGCCAGAGATAAGGATCTGATTTCCAGCGCCTGGAGGGGAAGAGGAGGTGACAGCAAATCAAAGAGCGCTCACCTCGCCTAAGTCTGGGCCCACGTTTGAAGTTGGCGAGTCTTCTCTTTCTCCCTTCTCCCTCCTCTCTCCTCCCCAACCCCAAAGGGCCCCTGCTTTCTCTCTGGCCCCATTTGTATTTTGCTTCGCCATGTCTTAGTGCTCTAGGATGATCCCGTCGCTCTAGGATCACGGGGCCACCGGTGATCCAAGCAGCAGAGAAGACTGGTCCGAAGGCCCTGGCTCCTCCACCGGGGTGGGCACTCCTGCTTCCAAGGCTCGGTCACCACAGAGTTGTGCCTCCCCTAGCCCGGAGGCTGAATTAATTGCTGCCTTGATGCTGGGTTTTCAGACGATTGCTAAGTAACTTGCAGGGGGAAATTTCTGTAGGCTCTCCATGTTTTGCACCTTCCCCCCCAAGTAGAACCTCTGTCCCTACCAGCCCACTATTCAGCCAGTGACCTCTCTGCCAGCTTCCAAGGGAAAGCATTTCTGGGTCAAGATTGTCCTTACTCCTTCCTGAATGGGCAGGGCACTCTCCCATTAAAAGCTTTGCTGCAGTGAAAGGCTGCGGAGTCTCCGACTGGGACTTTTGGCCTTGTGCTGAGGGTAAGCTAGGCCAGGGAAGCTGTCTGGGTGGTGTCAGTGTATGTCCCTGGAAGGAGCAGAACAGTGGCCTGCACAACTCAGGGAGGGGGACTTACTGAGGGTTAGAGGAACAAGCTGATGAAGAGAAGAGGGGAAAATGAGGAGTAAAGGAAGAAGTGGGCAGCAGGGGATTGAGACAGGCAAAGAGAAGGGCTCCCCAAGTACCCTGCTCCCGCAGTGACTTAAGTAGCCCCCAGCTCAGAGCCCAGAGAGTTCAGCACTTGAGCCTCCCAAGGCCCCCCATGTACTTTCTACTTTCCTTCTCCATTTTTTGCTTCCACTGGACAGACTGAAAATCAGGCATGTCTGGGAGGCTCAGGGATGAAAAGTCTCTCTACAGAGCCCTGATCTGTCCACAGAGCCTGGAGACCCTGACCAAGCAGGCCAGGAGTTGCCTGTCTGCTTGGTCACTTCAGCTTCCAGGCTTTGCATTCAGAGGGGCAGAGATCAAAGCAGCTGAGGCCCAGCCTCAATGCTGTAGCCCATGGGCAATACCCACCTGCCCAGGTGTCACTGCGCACAGAAACATCCAGAGAACCCAAAGACACCTCCCCCTTTTTTATGGGGTAGGGAGGGCACTGAATCTCCCTCATGTGTGACGGCAGATGTTTGAGTGAGTAAATGAATGTGGGTGTCAGTGTCCTCGCTGAAACAAAGGTGATCCCCCGGGGCTAAGGTAAGGAGTCAGTCCAAAAGCAGAGAGGGTGTTGTCCACAGGGCTCCTTAATAGTGAGGCAGAAAAGCAAATTTGACGTCGAAGTTGAGAGTTTTGAGGAGAAAGATGACATGACTTCTGGAAGCCGAATTGAAGATCAGCTAGTAGAGTTTAATGCACGGGTAGCGGGAGACGTACAGATTTGTGTGTGTTTGTGTGTGCGCTCTCTGTGAGGCCCTTCATGGGTTCGGTGCAATCCCTGTGTGTGTATGTGTGTGTTCACGCACATGTGTGTGTGACCACATTCGGGCCAGTTCCTGCATTTTGTTGAGTAGCACAACACTGATCATCTCCGTTTATCTGGGATGCACCTTGTCAACTGCTTCAGAACGCGTGAATCCGCGTTTATCTGTCATTGCGCGTTTCCCTGTTTGTTTATCTGCACATGAATGTGTAAGTGTGTTTCCAAGTTCCTGTTCTCTTTGCAGGAGAGTGCAATTCTGTGTTGACTCAGGCTTGTGTGGATGTAAATTTCCACACACCAGTGTCCCTGTGCCCCTCCCTTTCTCAGGGCTCTGGACACTGGAGGCCCTCACTTAAGTTGGTTGAGTTCCGTAGGATTTAGTTTCTGTAGCAAGTTGTGTGTCTCTGCGAAGGCCATTTGGAGGGAGCCCTTGCATCAGAGAGGGTTCCATCTTCTCTGTGAGGGCAGTGGGTTCCCTCCGCGGGGGTATCAGACTCCCAGCATCTGCCCTGGGGGGGGGGAAATTGGGTGTGGCTGGGCTGGAATTCAGGAGGAGGGCAACCTACCCTGAACTTCTCTTTTTTTCTCCCTTCTTTTTTTCTTCTTTCCTTTGCAGATTGAGATCAAGAACCCACTGCAACTACCACAATGGGCAGCAAAACCTTGCCAGCGCCGGTGCCCATTCACCCATCCCTGCAGCTCACCAACTACTCCTTCCTTCAGGCAGTGAATGGCCTGCCCACGGTGCCCTCGGACCACCTGCCCAACCTGTATGGTTTCAGTGCCTTGCACGCCGTGCACCTGCACCAGTGGACGCTGGGCTACCCCGCCATGCACTTGCCGCGCTCCTCTTTCTCCAAAGTGCCGGGCGCCGTGTCCAGCCTGGTGGACACGCGCTTCCCACTGCCTGCCTTTCCCTGGTTTCCTCATGTAATCCAGCCTAAGCCTGAGATCACCGTTGGAGGCAGCGGCCCCTCCGCACTCAAGACCAAGCCACGCTTTGATTTTGCCAACCTGGCTTTGGCTGCCACGCAGGAAGATCCATCCAAGCTTGCCCGGGGGGAGGGTCCTGGGTCCCCCGCTGGTGGGCTGGGTGCTCTCCTGGATGTAACCAAGCTGTCCCCAGAAAAGAAGCCCACAAGGGGACGCCTGCCTTCCAAGACCAAGAAGGAGTTCGTCTGCAAGTTCTGTGGCCGCCACTTCACCAAGTCCTACAACCTCCTTATCCATGAGCGGACACACACCGATGAGCGGCCCTATACCTGTGACATCTGCCACAAAGCCTTCCGGAGGCAAGACCACTTACGGGACCACAGGTACTGTGGGTGCCCCCTCCCCCCTGAAAAGCTGTCTGTATGTCTCTGTTCTCACCGTCCTCCTCCCTAATGAGGTGGTTCTTGAGCCCAGCTCTGGCTCCAAGCATCACAGTTCCTGGGAATTCTCTAACATAGCAAACGAAGCCCGACAAGGCTCAGGGATAGGTTCTTGGAGCATGGGGTGGAGAGAGCCTGGGAAGACTAAGTCAGGTCTCCACGAGCTCCAGACGGGCAGGCACAGCTGCCTCACCCTTCTCCCATCAGCAGCGCTGTCCACTACAAATTTCTGCAGTGATGGAAAGCGGGACCCATGACACATGTCCCCACTGAGCACTTGAAATGCACAACCAGTGTGACTGCGAGATTAACTTTTTAGTTTTACTGAATTTTAATTTTAAATAACTACATGTGGCTAGTGCTGCCCCAGCTTGGACAGCACAGCTCCAGCAAATTGCCCACCCCCCGCCCAGGTCCCCTCTTCGCCTTTATTGTTAACCCGGGCCTTATAAGGAGACCGTGCTTGTCCCTCTGGGGGAGGCAGGGGTGGGCCTAGCTGGACCTGTTGACGGATCCGATGGATCAGACATTGCCTATGGATTTCCTTCACCTCCCTACTCCATCCACAAAACTTCGCATTTTGCCCACTCCACGCTAGGTACCCCCTGCCTGCCTCCCCCCTTTCTTTGGAGGGCAAGCGCCTCATTGCTGTGGGAGGGGATCTTGGATAACTGTGTATAACATGACATCATTTTGCAAAGATTAATGTCTCTGTTTTTGCTTTCAGATATATTCACTCCAAAGAGAAGCCTTTCAAGTGTCAGGAGTGTGGGAAAGGATTCTGCCAGTCCAGGACTCTCGCTGTCCACAAGACGCTACACTCACAGGTGAAGGAGCTCAAAACCTCCAAGATCAAATGCTAAAGAGAGCCTCCGGGTCACCAGCACCCTGGGTCACGCTGCCCCTTCCTCCAGAGGGACCTGAAGCCGAAGGCGACTCCGGCGGGCAGCGGGAGGGGTTCCCGGGACCTTTCCCTATCCCAAACTTGTCCCCTGGGTCCCGGGCGCACGCGGAACTCGAGAGCCCCGCCCCGAGCCGTGACCCCAGCCACCCGGGCGGCTCCCCCAGGACGCGGCTAAAGTCTTGGCCAAAAGGCGGTACTCACGTGGCGGAAGGGAAACTGCATTTAAAAAAAGAAGGAACGCTCCGCGGAGCCGCAGCGGCGCCTCTCCCAGAAGTATTACTTTTTCTATTGTTATTTTATACGTTTTCTTTATTATTTTTTTTCTTTGACTATATAAGCTTGTAACTCTGCCTGCGGAGAGAGAGGGGAGAGGGAAAGAAGTTCTGCGCGTTCGCAGCTTTCACCCCCTCCTCCCGTCCCCATCCCCACCCCCGGGAGCCTGCAAAAGTGTAATCCATGTATCTGCTTCAGCAGCCCGGCCCTGGGACCGCGGCGCCGCGGATGCTCCGTTCGTGCGGCGCCGCGCGGCCGCGGGTCGTTGGCCCTCGGACTCAGACGGCGGGGCGGGGGGCCTGGGGCCCTGGGGCTGGAGGGGGCCCGGCCTCCCGCGCCCCTGCTCCGCCGCCCAGTCACCACGAGCGAGCAGCCGGCTAGGAGCAGGGCATTGTATTGCGATTGGCACTTTATGCTGACCATCGGTAACGGACATTTATCACTGGAGTTTTTTAAAATATGAAATAAACGGTTATTTTACAGGCATTGCAGGATGGGTATTTTCCCTCCCAAACACAGGAGACTGGGAGGCTCCTTTCCTCGAGAGGAGCAGGTTTCCCTACCCGCTCCAACCTGTCCCACTTCCGGGCCCCCGCCTTATTGAGGTGCTAGGGTTGAGATGGATGGAGAAGCCTCCTCTCTCCCTGTCTTGGTCTACCTCGGATTCCGTCCCAGGTTTCTTTTCTTACTTCACTCCTCCATTTCGGTCTTAGGTCTCAGTGTCCCCAGTCCTCACCTCCAAACCGCTGGGGGTTTATAAAGAAGCCAAGCCTGCGGCCAGGCCAGGACGTCGGCCGTGAGAAATCTCAACGTCTCCGGGTCCCGGGGTCGCTTAGGGTCCACTAAGGGAACAGAATGGCACCCACCTCTCCAACCAAAGGCTTCCGTACTGACCTCCTGCATCTGCTCTGGTGAGGGAAGGGGGTGCCTTCACTGATAGCCTGAGGACCAGTACTGTCCCCTGGGCCCCCATACCCTGCTGCACGTGCACAACCACCGCTGCCTCACCCAAAGCCCCAAACCTACAACCCTCTCTCCATTAGGATCCCCCAGACACAGTTCTCTGGCTGGGGCTCGTCCCCTGCCCGGAGCACGGCCCCACGCCCTCAAAGATTCCCTACAGTTTTTAAAGCCTTGTTAGGAATGGCGGGGGCGGGCGCCCTGGGAGGCCCGGGAAGTTTAGGAAGGGAAATCTGAGTCCGCCCTCCACAAGTTGAACCTTCCCCGGGGCGTCTAGTTTTCCCACAATTAGAGGCCAGGCCGCCGGGGGCTCTCCTGCTTGGGGCGGGGCGGGACTCCCCAGCTCCAGAGTCTCGACCGCTGGGCGGCGCAGGTGGTGGCGCCCGCGGCCTTTCCCAAGCCGAGCGCGCGGCCTCTCGGGCTTCTGTGCCCCGCTCTCAGCGGCCGCGGAGACGGCCGGGCCGAGCTTCCCTGCCGCGGGGACCCAAAGACCCAGCCTCAGGCAGGGCCTTGCGGGCCTGAGAAAGGAAGCCCGGGCCATAGGGGTTAAAACGCTCTCGCCTTTACTGCACCCTCCCCACCTCCTCTGGGGATGCCTCCCCGCCCAGTGCGGGCTGGAACTCCGCGGTTCCGGAACCCAACTTGCCCCTGTGGCCTTAGCTGGGCGGGCGCCGATGAGCCCGACCCTCCGCGTTCGGAGCCACACTGCCCCCTGCTGGACAGGCCTGGACGGGCGGCCCAGGACTGGGGCACCTCACAGTATTCCTGCCCCGCAACCCATCTAGATGGACTCTCTAGATAAACTCTCCGCTGCAGGCCCTGTCCACCACTCCTCTAGATGTCTGGTCTTGCCCTCAAAACCTTCTTGACCGGTCCCACGGCCCACTGAGAATGAGGACCGTCCGGGTTTGAACCGGCCTGGGGGATCTCCCCTAGTGGAGCAAGATCACAGCCCTTCTTCCCCAGCTTCATAAGGACGCTCCCCAGGACAGAAACGGAGTCTGGATCCCACAGCACTGTGATTTCTGGGCGCAGAGAGGGAGGGTTAGTCAGTGGGCTTGGGGCTTCGACGTCTTTAGCCCAGCCAGTGCAGCCCGTAGCAAGGTGTGCGCACTTGGCCATGGCTTATGTTATGGTCCATGGCAGGAGCCACAGCAGTTCCTTTATTAGCTCCGTGAGGTCGGCGGACGTGGCTGTTCTAAGATGAGTGCCTGGGTACACACAACCCTAGGGAGAGTTTTGGGCACCTCTGAGGACCTGTGAGAGCGCCTCCCTCAGTTCCTCTGCTCTTTCCGGGGTTCCATCTTTCTCAAGGATTTACTACTGCTGCCGCCCCCGCGGCCTCCACGTTGGCCACCTCCCACTCCCCCAGGACGTCCAGAGCCTCTGCGGTTAGCTCTGCCCCAAGGATCTCGTGAAGGCTATGAAATGGGGAAGGTTTGCAGGAGAGGTTTTTCCATTCTGGACCACCCCACCTCTGGTAACCTGAATCCCCTTCCTTCCGTCCTTCGTAGACCCAGCAACATCAAGTGTGCATCCTTAAAGGATGGATTCCCAGCACAGGGTTTGTAGCGAGGCGCTGGGAGTCGCGCAGGGTACTGTCCAAAGACCTGCACTGACTCACAATGCCTCCACCGTGTCTTGCCCTACCAGTGGCTCGCTATCATCCTGCTGGACCCGGAAGCCATGTCGCAGCATAGCTTGATGCGTCTATCCCCTGACAGTGATTTCATGGATTGCGCAGTAACAGCACAAGTGGAAGGGCAAGCTGGGGCTTCGGGCCCCAGACACCAAACAGGCTACAGTTCCCAAGCAACGTGGTTGGGGCAGTTTCCAGCTCCCACTCTATGGGTAGCAAGAAAAGGCAATGAGTTGTCCCCCACGCGGCAAGGGGACAACTCCCCCCCCCAACATCTCTAGAAGATACCATTCCTCTGTCTCCCCATCTTCCCCGACCCCAGTTCTCAGACATTAAGGCTTCTTTGGTCTCAGGTCCCCAGTGTGTCTTAGGTCGGTTTTCGGGATGAAGGAAGGGAAAGGAGAGTCCAGCTGGGGCCCTCCCCCAAGCTGCTAGGCCAGCTGTTCCTGTGAGGGGCGGAGTGGGGGGGGGGCGCTACTCGGCTGGACCTCTTTGCTGATGGGTAGAAGGCGCAAGAGACCTTCGAGGCATCTTGGAGCTTCCTGGTGCTCGCTCTGGGAGATCAGCAGCGCTCTGGGGAAAGAACAGCTCGCAGGCGCTTCTCCCCAAGAGGAAGAGGTTAGGGTTCCACCTCCTCCTTCTGAATGTAGTCAGGGGTCTGGGGCGTAGGATGGACCATTTTTCCCTGCGGACCTCTTGGCCGCGGGAGTCAGAGCTAACATAGGGTCGTGGGGAAGGGAGAAACGCAGTGGACTGGTCTAGGGCTCCTTGATAGCACCTCAGAACCCAGAACGTGGAACCTGTGATAGCATACCCAACCCCATCCCCGGAATCTTGGTGTCTCCAGAGCCGGCTCAAAGGCATCCCGCCCCACCTGCCACAGCACTAGGGCGCTGTGACGCCACACAGGCCTCCGGCAAAATACGCCAGGGCTCCGCTAAGTCTACAGCGGGATCTCATTTATGCAGTTCGATGACATCACAGACGGGCGGTGATACTAAGGCTCCCACATTTCCCGGCCCCGCCCTGAGAATCCTGCCAGAAACGCGCGGAGAATTCGTCCGTTCCCGGACAATAGGGTCCACAGACCCGAAGCGTGGGTAGGTGCCCTGAGCGAGGGAGAGTGCCCGGCAGGGTTCCCCTCTGGAATCTCGTGGCTTAGAATGCTCTCTGCGCGGGTAGGTTTCTCTGCACCAGCCGCGGCGCGACACTAGCCCCGCCCACGTTGCCCCGGCCTACCCACCGCCTCCACCACTGCGCATGCTCGGCGCGCAGGCGCAGAAGGAACTCGTCGCCCAGCACCGCCGGCGCTGGAGTTCCCCGTCCTGCGGCGGTAGTGGGCAGTCGGTGTGGACTTCGGTGTCCCGCTTGTAGGTGTAACGAACACAGAGTACCACTGGCCCTGCGGGCGCATCCTGCTATCCGTCTTTATGAGCACTAGAGATGTTAACGCCGAAGAGGGCTGCTCTGGGTTAATGCGGGCTAGAGACCCTTGGAGTCCCTATGGCGCCTCGAATCCAACGCTGCGGTGGTCCGATGGAGGTCTCTGGGATTCGAGCCGAGAGGGAGTGTGCGGCCCGCCCCTGCCCTAGATCCAGTGCGGCCCCAGTCTTTTCGAGCAGGGTTTTTGAGGCAGAGGTCTTGGTCTCCAGTCCCCCGGAGCTCTTGGAGGCACAGGCTTGGTCACCCACCCTGCCAGTTTAGCCTGGCTATCTGGGACGCTGCGAGAGCCAGGCTGATGGTTGGGCCCAGGTTGCATATGTTTCAGATGAAAAATTCACTATGGACATGAGATAGGATGAGGGGGTCAAACCTCATGTCAATGGCAGAGGAAGAATTAGAAGTTGCGTTTCCTTTGCGGCAAGGGGCCTGAAGACCCAGTTGTAGCTTTTCCTGCCACTTAGAAGGTCAAAGTCATACATATTTTCTCAATCATTTATTCACCACTCGAATCAACAACTGGGCCCTCATGTGTTGCAGAACAACTTTCGCATTTTTGAAGCACCATGTAAAGGTAGTAGAAATGCTTCTCTCAGCATCCTGAAGTAGCCTGCCTCCCAAGCTGCCTTATTCCTAAAAGAATCTTCTTCCCGTCTTTACTTTCTCATCACCCAGAGATAATGAAATGGGATGGAAGAAGGCTGTCGCCTGGACTGGTAGTCATGAAACTTCCTAGAAAATTTTAAAGAAGCAGCCTTTAACTCCATGGAGAAGAACGGATAAATCAGTTCACAGATTATTTTTAAATTTGCTTGAGAGAGAAAGGTGGGAGACAAAATGTAAGTGCCCTACTTACCCCTCCTTTGTGGCATATGCCTAGCGTGAAAAAAAAACTTGGGGCAGACTGAGGTGTCAGGGCAGGGACCTATATATGTGGCAAGTGGGACTGAATGGGTGGTAGGGGGTCTTTCACTTTGCAGACACACCCAACTACAGTCTTCTTTGGATATGTGCTTTCTTTGATTTGTCCTAGAGTGTCCATGGCCTACAGAAAAGATAGTTGTACACAGTTGTTACATGGACAGATCTGCAGGAATGTTCCTCTTACCCAGCCACCTGAGCCCTGGCTATCTGATAC